CATCCAGGAAAATAGGCTGGAATATACTACAACATGAAATCGTTATAAATTATAATATATCGCGTGTGTGTTCGTCCAGTTTTGCCACGAATATCCGTCAAAGGGTTGTGCAGAGTTGCTGACAGGCACATGGGGGGTTCGCAGGGGTGGCGCCGAGTGTGATTTTCTTTTCCGCTTCAAGTTATCACTCGCGAAATTTCAGTAGAACCTCCGCCGAAAGCGATCGCATAATATTATATTTACTTAGCAGTCGACGGCGCGGCGGCACGTCGTTACTGGCGACGGACGGCCGGCCGCCGGCGTTGGCGTTTGCTTACAAATTATTATCATTATCATTACTATTATACTTTCGTGTCCGGTGTAGGCGGTGGATCGGGAAAGACAAAACGGCGGCCTTTTTGTCGGGCAAAAACCGTCGWCTGATTGATGATCTCAACGAGACGCCCGTGACCGATAAATCATCCCGTGCGATGTTGTTGGTAGCATACGCGACCACGTGTTCGGCGTTTCGATTTCCGTCGAAGTTTTCGACACGAATTCAAGATCTCGCAGAGTACCAAACGATGTGATTTGCCGAAACAACCGCATCACGATAATAATAATTAATAACATTATACGAGTATCTCGTAACACACCATTAATCGGCTGTGGAACGCGTCTTTAATGAATATCGCCGCAACGATCATTGATATATTATTTTTGACACAAACATGAAGAGGAGGTTATAATACGGATTAATACGGATTATGTATACCATTATCGTCAATAGCCATCGATAAGCATAAAATCTACATGAACTCCAAAGAGAATTCGACTGCATTCGCTTGCGTTTTTTGGTATCCACAATAAATTCGTTCTATATGYATCTAGACGGATATCGTTATCATATAACCATTAGTAATTCACCATCACTGATGTTTGTCTCAATTTTTACTCGTATAATTTATATCTTCAATCATCATGATTTGTTTAAAAAAATATTCGATATCGAATTGAAGCATAATTATAATATTTTTGTGAGTGAAGACAATATTCGAATATTATTTTATTTTATTTTTTTTTTTTTTTATTAATGATAAGGCTTCAACAATAAAGTCATTAGCCGGAAAACATGTTTACAAGTTATTTACAATCATTTTATTATTTTATTAAATATTGTACTTTAATAATGATAATTTAAAAACATATAATTTCCAAACAATCCATACGAATCATACAATTTATTATAAATTACCATAGTACAAACACATAATATATGTATAAATAAAATTTTGTGGATGTTAAATGTTATTTTGACACTGCTGATCTCTTGTTTTCTGCAAAATATGTATATTGAACGCAATAAAATAATAAAAATATGAACTTTTTCACACTTAAGAATTTACAATTTAATATAAGTGAGAGCCTTGTAGTGGGAGCTTCAATATTGATCTATACTATTCTCCTATAGTCTAGAATGTAAATAATATATATTAATATATAGTAATAATGACAATTTATTATTTTCATGCAAAATATTTAGACATTTGGCTTGTTTAGTCAAGTGTTGTTAGAAYGTTATATGTATAGAATATATTATATTGGTTACGATATACTGCGTTTGGTAGTAATAATTACTTTAAATATTAATGTAATATGTAAAATGTAAATATACTAATAGCTAATGTACTGTTACATCCAATGGCCATAGACGCCGCGGATAGTTGTTTAATAATAAAAAAAAAAAAATTACTTTAATAGTAGGTACTAATTTAAAAACCACGAAACCACTCGTGACATCTAAACGACTAACATAACGAAATGTCTTGCTTAAACAATGCAAAAAAATATTCTTTATTTATATATATTATTCAATATAAATCATTATTCACGTCGCACTGTGCCACTAGGCAGCCAAAGTATCCTGAATCCTGACCCGTAYTCGTGCTCTTAACATGTAAATGCCATATCGCGACAATCCGATCTGCACATCGATCACATCAATCTTATCTATACTCGTTAGTGGTATATATTATAATACCRCGTTTGCATATTATATCGGGTCCCGCGTACTATAGTGGTGCACCCATAACCGTATATAATATAATTTATAAATAATAATACATACATACATGCATGCGTTATATTGTGGCTGCTAACCACCGTGGCCGTCGGAATTTCGCATCACAATAATTTAAACAATATACTATATATATACGTATCCGAAGCGAATCGTGCAGAGCCGCGTCACTCTGTCGTCCTGCAGAAGCCGTTGCTGACAACGAAACGTCCGTCCAATTGTCCTTTCACACCATCTTAGGTTTATTGTCCGTATTCTTAGATTATAATATACACCTATATGTATAGGTGTTATTATTCTCCTATCATTGTGCGCGCACTCATGCACACCGCATCCATGGTTGYATGATGGTAATACGGTAACATTATATTATACGCGGTATCACGCGCGTACATCGAACACAGACACTTCTGTTGTAAAACTCTCGGACCCGCGGGGTGTAAATTATTGTGTAAAATAAGCTTTAATCGGACGCGGCTCGTCCGGTCAGACCAACGCCACCACCACCCACGCGTGTACGTTTATGGATACGTTTTAATAATAATATGCTATAATATTGGAAATATATTATATTATTATAACAACGATAAGCTACATACGGGCAGCGCATGTGTCATGTATATGTATTATCTAATATAATAAAATATGGTACGATCGCGATTYGCGATTGATGTGTTTGCGAAAATGATCCGCAGACTGAAATTCGCGCATCACATAATATTATAATAATTACCGCCTCACATAGCTCATTACATCATCTGTACGCCAATGTATAAATATTATGCATTACGACAACGGGCCTAATATTAAACATCGATGCAGTGCCACGTAGGTTGAAAGTCGCTACATTTTGAAATAAAAATACAATAGTATCGATAACCTATTATAATCGCAGTTTGCAAATAAAGCGAATAAGGTATATATGATGATATTATGACAAAATCATAATTTTTCTATAATATAATCTCGTATTGCTTAGTGAAACGAATTTCTATGCTATAGTCATAAGCTTATAAAAATTATTTTAAAAAAAACATGTTAACSCCTAGAAATCTCCAACACTATTTATGAGCTTATAACCATCACGATATTTTGTAGACTATTTTATTTATCTAAGCCACAGGCAATATAATTTACTATCTAAATACCAGAATCAGATCAACTTGACTCAAGTATTATAAGATGAATATGGATTTTTTCAACATATTCATTAATTTTAAAAGAGTTTTAAGACTTTTTAATTAATTTAAAAAAATAAACTCACACAAACACGTTTGTTTATCACGCCRCATTTAATAAACTTTTTTATTCTTAATATTTATAATAACATTATTATCCATTGTTATCATTGTCGTCGTCGGCGCGAAGTTATATTTACTGTGCACAATCGCAAATAATGACGAACTCGTCAAAGTACTTTATCAGCTCGTTCTTGGATGGTGCATAAAACGTATACTATGAATATTAAATTGACCAAGTGGTAAATTACAATAGATAATGGATTTATTAATAATGCATACTAACCAATGGGAATAATGCGGATAGAGTCGAACACAATACCCGAATAACGATTTATACAACATTATAACCGGATTCGGCATTTTACTGGTTATAATACAACGATAAAATTACTAAAAATGTAATAATATTATAGTTGCCATACCTAAACGGCTACATATATGGCAAATTCTCTGTTCTATAGGCTAATTTTTATTTTTTTGCAAGCCTCAAAACATGCTCCTAGCAGCAGGATTGACTTTCGTGACACACATTCAACATAATGGCATCATTGTATTATTATTTAATTTCATAATTATTCCTATTTGCGATAAGTTCATTGAATTTATAAACATCAATTTATTCAAAAAATATCCTTCTTGTTTTAAATGACAAAATTAAATTAAAATTTTGTAAATATTTATGTATTTTTGTTTATGTAAATTTAAGATGTAATATTCATATTGATTAAATCAATAATATTGTAAGACATTTTTTTATATTCTTATAAATATTCAGAAATATTGATCTTCAAATTTAAGACTTACAGCATTTTGAAATTTTGTTCACAAGCTTTGGGTTACTTTATTGGAGAAGTGCATATAATATTCATATTAATAAACAAAAAGTTACAATTTATTCACTTTTAAAATTTGTATTTTTCAAATTACTGCCATTATATTTTTAATGATTATTTCATGTCTAATTTGGATAGCTTTTATCACAAATAACTATGAATGTTTATGTTTAAGTTTAAATAATTAATTTAATACTCAGTAGATCGCTCAGTAAACTTATGATACTGTAGATACTAGATATGAATTTAAGTGAGATTATAATCCCAAAAGTGAGATTCAAATTTAATCAGTTTTATCTACTGTTTGTTTATTGCGAAATTGTTATCTATTTAAAAATTAATTTATCTGTTTTGGTAATAACTATTTGTATTAGATTAAATATTTTTTTTATGTAATAATAAAAATATATTAATTAGGTGTATTATTATGTAATATAAAAATAAATTAGAAAATATTATTAATTTAATTTTAGTGTACATTTTATGTAGAATTATTTTTTGTTTTKTCTTAAGACTTAAACCCTTCTCACACCACTATTAACGCCAGTGAATATATCAAACTTGTTAGATCGCATGTAATCTCAATTGTATCAACATTTTTGTATTTTCGTTGGTAATATATAATAATTAGTATTATTATTAAAAGAGTAAGTATTATGACTCAAACTATTTACCGTAATGTTTACATACTAKCTGGTAGGTCACTTTTATTTTGTTACTGGGTATAGAAATTGTATGCAATTATATGGTCGATAATAAAAATATGTTTAAAAATAAAATAAAACTAAAAAGTTTCATAAAATAAACATTATTTGTTTATATATATGTACCAATATATTATTTATYTGAAAAACATATATAATCCAGCTATAATTTTAACATAACCAATACGTTTTTCTCTTCTGGTTTCAAGCCTAATAGTTCACGTAATTTTTTATTTCGTTTTACTAACAAAGAATTTTCCGTTTTATCAAACTGTAATTTATTTGTGTGGGAGTGACAATAATTACCACATTCTTCACAAAATGTTTGACTGCTAGAATATCAATTAAAAACATATTAAAGCAATACTGACTTAAAGTTTCACTTACTTATTTTTAGGTTTTTCGAAATGATTGTTAAATTTTTCGGTCTGTGTGTTTTTATCCGTTAGGTGTGTGATTTGCTTAACGCCCTTTGCTAATATTTCATTTTCAGTTGATGGTCTTAAATCCCCTATACTTCGCCACTTTGAAATTGAACCGGGACTATCACAAATGTGATATTTTGAAGGCACCAGGTTTTCAGTATTAAGATGGGGTTCAATATTTAAATTCTTTAGAATAATATGATCGTTTTGAATTTGATTTTGACTTGAATCTTTCCTGTTCGATTTCAAATTTATTTTTTCTTGATTAATGTTCAGATCTTTTCCAATAATATTCGTAAATTTATTTGAATAATATTTGCTGTAGTCTGGTTTGTAGTTGCTTACATTTTTTTTAAAACTTCTTTTTATGTTAACATTTCTCGAATATCCAAAAGAATTTTCTATTTCACCTATTTCTTTCCAAAATTCATCCAACATACTGAAAAAGAAAAATATTTGAAAATGATAAATATATTTTAATGTAATTATCATTATTAAAATAATTAGAGTTTTGATTTTTAAATGAAATGTGAAACTACTTAGTTTGTAATTGAATTTAAAAATATATTATAATAACAACTTAAAAATAAACTGTTACTACTCATCAGTTGATGAGAAGTTATAACTGATTTCTAAATTGATCGCTAACTACGTAATTATTGTAGTGTTTCCATCTCATGGGAAATGAGATTTCAGACATAGTTTTGTTGAGTTTAAGTTCAATAGATCAAGTTGGATGCATGTATTTCAGCGATTAATAATTGTTTAAATCTCAAAAAACAGTGGGGGCTTAACCTTAAGCTTTATTTCGCCCTTCAGTTAAAGATAAAATAAAAACAAATAAATATCAAAACATTACTTTTTCTGTTTTTTTAAGTTTGAATTAGTTTCCGTGATGTAATTATCCAGTAAATAGGGCTGRCTCTGTGTCCTAGGAATATTATTGATATTAGAATGATTTGTTCGTATGTCTATTGTACTTAACGATGATTCCACTKGGTATCTGTAATATTTCACGTCTTCGTCCCAATAGACATGGTTCGAGTTTGACAAGGACAACGGTATATTATCATTTACGTCTCTYGAGTCATGGCTGTATATTAATTAATGCGTTATTCAAATTAACAACTTGTTTATMATTTCTAATGGATATTAATTACGGTATTAAATTACAAAGTAATAATAACTTTMAATTATTATTATTGTTGTTATTATTAATATTATTAATATGGTGATGAAGGTGAATTAACTAAATAAAATATTCTCAAATTAAATTCTTAAATTATCACAATGTAAAATGTTAGTATCATTTTTATTAAATTTTTTTGACTAAATAACTCTAAGTATTAAATTACAATTTAATTTTACCTTTAATTTTATAATATAAAATTATAATTTGTATATTCATAATATTATGATATAAATGTAGTATTCAAAATTGCATAATTTGATGAGCTTCCAGTAAATGAAAACTAATATAATACGTAGGTACTTCCTGACTAAATACATAACTGTATAAAACGCTGTATAAGTAATTAGTGTATACCTATTAGATAAATGTTTAAAAATAATTTATTTTCTTAATAGTTAATAAGCACTTTAATCACTATTTTGTATTTACTATCATTGTTCCTAATTTACTGGATGATTGGTTAAAAATTATACTAATTACTGACAACATCAATATATGTTACACAATAATTTATATTTTTATAAGATTTTTAATTCATTTAATTTACTAATGCAGAGTATATCAGAAAAAAATTATTAAATTATTAAAACTTTACTTTTAACTATAAATATTTTTTTATTTTAACGATCTGTTAGGACACTTATTGTTTATAAAATACTATTTGGTTACAAACGAATATAGTGGCTAATTAAATAAGTATAACTCATGAACAAGCTAATGTTTTATTGACGACTTGTTGATTCCTGAAAAATACTTATCATTTATAAGTATAATATAAATATTAATGTTAAAAATTAGTATCAAAGTGTTTAAAACTCTCACTAGGTCGTTGACTATTACAATATTTATCTATAGGTACGCATTCAGTGGATCGGTCTGGGTATGACTTGATATAATAAAATATAGATCAGGGTTGGCGAACCTTTTTCSATCAATTGCCAAATTTTTCCAATCCAAGTTTTAAAATGTTTTCACGTGGCCAAAGTCGTAAATAATAAATATAGAAATAATATAGCTACAAAATACATTTAACATAGGAATATTAAAATTGTTGAAATATTTATTATTTGTTTCTTTGAGTTTCGTATAACCAACATTTTATAGATAGCATCATTTTTATAATCTTCATTTTTYACATGTCATTGAAATTTAACTAATGTGTCACTTTTGGCACGCATGCCATAGGTTCGCCACCCAATAGACAATAGACAAAATATATTTTATAGTGCTTGTGAAAATAGTACAATGATTTGTACCCGTCTGGATAATACAATACACGTATAGAATATTTATTTTTAAGTATTTTTTCATRAAATTGATCTAATATTTATTCATGCTTGTGTTCGTCTAGACCGCTTGGCAAGCGATATTTCGACTTATCGTAATATTAATTTAAGATTCTGAGCGGAGCGAAGAATGTATTGGTTTTACAATGATGTTTATTTTTATTTTTTATTTTTTTTTATTCTGTTAACACTTTTTTCCCCTCTAAACTTGCTCAAAAGTATTAAATGTAGCATCTTTTCTGAAAAGTAATATTCTTGAGCTGGTACTTAAGAAAGGTCATTTTTCGAAACGGTACTTGAAATAAAAGCGGTTAAAAGAGAAAAAAGTATGATTTCCCGATTTTATAATATTAAATAATTACGGACGACGTTTTCTACCAGAAATATTGCTTCAAATAAAAAATGACAAGAGATCTTTTTGTTGTATTTTAGATTTTGTTCCTTAGCATGTAAAGTTCGGAAAATTTTAGCCGTTTTTGAGCTATTTATACTATTTATAGACATTTTAATTTTGGAAGTTTTTTTTATGTAATTCGGTTAAAAACATTCGTAAAAACTTGAAATTTGGGTTGTGTACTTATATTATCCTTACCTAGACATGGTAAAAWTTTCAAAATATTTAAGAGACTGTTTTATTTTTAAATCTAAGATTTGAAAATTTTTAATAATCTATAATAATATATCCTAGACAGATAAACCGTCTCCGCTCAGAATCGTTTTTCGTATACAATGATATAATATCATTGGATTCAAATTTAATTTTATCCATTACARTAACCCACTTTTAACCCTATTGTACAGAAGAGTGGCATCCACGACTTACCCGCTTTTTTGTTTTTGTCCTGAAATTGAATTATCCCATTTTAGGAATTGAGAAATTTTATCATTCATATTGATTTGATTGTTCGACGTTATAATATCAGAACGACTAAAACCAATATCATCGCTGACCACACTTAAACACGTATCTTGCGAAATACTTTTTCCTACTGTTTTCCAATCAATTTCATTTGTTATTAAAGGAAATTCCAAGCCACTCATGTTTTTTACAATCCAAGGTGATTTTTCTCCGTTAAACCTGTACATTTTTTGATCGGGATTTTCTAATTTAGTATTTTCAGGAGTCATGACGAGTATTTCATTGAATTCCATGGCTTTAATACCGCATTCTTCGTTGTTATTGTTCATATTTGGTTTGGATGAATTGTCATGCTGCCGTTCCATTTTTTCGTACTGCTTGCAAAAATTTTTTTGATAAATATTGAATTTAAATATGTATTAAAATACGTGTAATCAAATGTTTAAAATGATTTAGATAATGTTGTTAGTATTGTTAGTAAAATACACCATGGAATGTCATAGGTATTACCGTCGTCAATGAAACAACTGTGTTGATTACGCACCTGTATCATTATGTGCAGGTATAGTTGTKTTTTTGGACATTATGATAAATTTTTTCGATATTTTCGTCGACAATCCCTGACATCTAGCCAGATCAATGTTTTACTTTTAACTTTAATGCAAATCATTTTTTTCTTTTTTTTTTGTTACTCTATACACAAAACAATAATATATTCACAAATTTACAATATCTGATTTGGTGAATTAAGAATATTATTAATCTATTTTTCTAAAAAAGARCAAAAACTCTACAGTTACATTATAGTCTGACTACGATTTAAATTTTACTTATTTCATTTTGTACTTATTATAATGCTTGCTCACACTATAAAATTTTTAAAATAATTTGTTGAATAATTATTAACAACCTTTTGAGAGTTATATTATTTATTGGACCGTTGGTTTGATAGTCTACTGTGTGGTTTCGTTTACTCAGAGAGACATTATTTAAAATAAGAAAGAATATTATTGTTTTTTGCGACTATGTACATGACGGTTAATATACCTGTTGTATATTTTTTAATATAAACTATGGTATAATAATATGTTCAATAAATGTGTGATCTAAATTTTAATAACAAATGATCTCAAATAAAAAGTTAAAATGTCTAGTTCTTATAGAAACATACATTTTGATATTAATCTAACCTGACCTATATATTTTTATTTTTTTTTAATACACAGCAAGTGGGATTTTCGATTATTCGCGTTAAGAGTACGAATAAATGTTTTCGCATGATGTTATCTTTAGCCGTTTGTGCCTTCGGTCGGGTACATTCAGTTAGACGCTTACACTGAGTACTGACCCGTGAAATCCTATCAAAATTGTTTTGCCAAGATGCGATTTATTACCGGTTTTCGGATGAGTAAAGACGTTTTACAAAAGACGTTTTTTTTTTTATTTGTTTGCTTATTTTCTAAAAACAACACGCCCGTCCAAGGTCTTTTGTAATTTAATCAGAAAATGGTCTTGTCTTATGTCTAAGTATTATACTCTTGGAGAGCTTTTAAAATTTATTAAAAACAAAAGACGCTTTTAACGGATACACGCCAATATAAATATATATAGTATATAATCATATAGATGTTTGGTAGTAGAAAGGGAGAGATGGAATGTGTCTTGTTTGTTTGATGAATGGGGGTCGTCTATTGTATCGACATGGTTAAAGTGCTTTTTTGGATATATTTTGTTTTTCTCGAGGTTTTTCAAATTTCCGAAGTCTTTTGTCGCTTACATTAACCGCTACCCTGATTTGGGCTACAGATCCCTTGACCCTGTCTGTCAAACCAGGAGACTACCCAAATATCCCGTAAAATGAACCCATATACATTTTTATCGAACTATAATAATTTTTATATGCTTATACGATAGGTAACCTATACAAGAGTAACTGATTTCAATAAAATCGTAAGAAAAATAAAGTGAGTTTAAATTTAACAATTGGGTTTTAATTTTACTTGATAGTTTAATTATGTCGAAATTTTGTATAATGTATTATATATTWTTCAATCGATAAATGGTGTCCATTTTAAAATGTGATTGTAATCTTCATTTTAATGATACGAACATAACATATCATCATCTATATGAGTACTTACTCTACTATGGTGATTAATAATTTTATAAGTTGAGGATTCGTCGTTTCATACTAGTTTTGTTATTTAGCAGTACAAATATTTATACTTACGTCAATTATCAACAGTAATGTCTGATAGACTTTTCAAAAGATTCAGCTTACTGCTTAATGCATTTACTTTTCCAAAAATTAATATACTGTGAATAAGACAACTAATCAATATTATTTAGTTTTATTGTAGTTATTTTTTATTTGTATATATATGAAATAATGTATGCATTTTAATTTTTACAAGTTTATTTTAAACTTCATAGTTCATATAAATTATTGTGATTAAAAACTTRGAAAACATTTAATTCGKTTAATTTGTCTAGTTTAGAATTTATGTAAATTAATAATGTTTTCGAACTATTCGATTGACAAATAGCGATATGCATAACTTCTTATAATATGTATCTACATATATTTATTTAACATTCTTAACTATTAAGTCAAACGTTTGAAAATTAATTTCATATAATAATCATTACATGCAAGGATATAGTTAATTTTTTTTTWAAATTATGTTGTAAAGAAAAATCAAAATGATGTCGATAGCCAATAGCAATGTGTACTATTTTCAAGCTCTGATCAGCTTCAATTTCTCACATTTTATTTTTAATTATAGTTAATACCCTTCAAACTAATTTTAAAATTAGTTTTATATGTTATTATAATTTATTTTATTGTATCTTACTTTTGTTTATCATWATATTGTTAATTTGTGTTAATTTGTTTATATGTGTTCCAAAAGCCGTCTGGCTTTTATTCTAATAAATACACAAAATAATTAATTAATTAAAATCCCTGTTTTAATTATACTATTGAAAGCATAGTAATAATTAATATTATTGTATTAAACCACGAGTTTTCACTTTGACACTTTATGGTCCATCCATTAATTATGTAACTCGGACAAGACCATTATCACTTTTAAAAAATCGTATTTATACCGTTGACTGACCCATAATGAATATATTATGTTGGTTACTTAAGTGACAAAGAACTTAAATTGATGTACTTACAGAACATCCTATTTAAGGTAAGTTTGTAGGTTTTCGGGTGCATTATTATGCTATAATATTTATACACCGTGACGACCTTAAACGGGTAATACCGCTGTATGGCACAACTTTTAGTTTAATCAAGAGTTCCCTAAAGACAAGGCATAATCATAATATCATTCCACAAAAATAAGAATATATAATTTTACTTTTGTAAATCATTGGAATCAATCATTCATCAATGATTTTTTTTCCCGAGGTGTTATACTGAATAACTTGGAAGTGTTAATAAATTATTTACTTAAATTTACTAAACAAATAATAAATACAAATTAAAAATATGATACAGCTCGAATATTTTCATTTTTTATAACGATCCATGTAAAGTAGGTAATTTTCTGAGAGCTGCAGTATCCTATAAATAAATCTATTTACTTACTCGTAACCACCAAATCACAATTGATTAGTTATAACACTACTCATTTAGACACCATAACTAATCAAAATACTTATATGTCGTGTATTTCTTAAATATCATATACTGTATAGAAAAAAAAAAAATGGTAACCGAAAGCCATCCATTATATGCGATACCACTCATTTATTTGGGACGGGACTTATTTCTTAAGATTTTTCTTTGAGAGTCAACGACAGTGACGATGAAAAATGCCGAACACGTTGACAAAAATAAAGAATCTCGGGCGCGCCTCCGGCACAAATGACCACATATTACATAATTCATAAAAATAAAATGTGCCTTCGGCTTTGTCCCGGGTAAACTTTATATWCGAGTTGATGTTATGTGTGTATACATACTTTTTCCCCTGACGACCTGAATGACCCAAAACTGTGTGACGTTTTTATGAAAAACGACGTTCCATTGAAAATATTAAAATTGTACAAGGTAAAATTACTCCGATATATTTTCTCAGATACCTAACTCGGACTTTCTGTTTTTGAGGTTTCCTCGGAGGATATATTATTATACTACTGTGTTTTTTTTTTTTGTTGAATTAAACTTTTGAGGTCAAATAACAAATATCGCAACGTTGTCGAAACATTATCCTAAACAATAATTTATTGTTACACATACCTACGAGGAATATACTCCAAATATGCACATTTTTTTTTTGTGCATATTTTTTTTTTTACATATTACTTAAGTATTTTTTTTTTTGCATTATAATATAAACAAATATTCAATAACCAGTGTGATTTATTATAATCTATATAGCAATACTAATCCATTTGCATGACACACATGTATGTGTTCATACGAATATATTATTGTACGTAATTCCGTCCGATATATTTAGCTAAGTGGTTAGGGACTTTTAGTGTTTCGTTTATGTTTTACGTATATAAATATAAGACCACCGTAGACTAGTCCCTGCACAATATTATACAGTCGGCGTGTCATATTTTATACGATTTTTCTCGTAGATAAATTTTCGAACGGCCAACCCGGACTTTGACCGTTGCAAACAAATTTATTTGCTCGTATTTCATTCGATATTATATTATACAAAAATACACACGCACACATCATAGTATATATATATTAAAGTCTCAAAAAACTTGTTATACAGCAAATAAGACAAATCTGGGTGACGTGCCCGGTATTATTTATGATAGGCTGTAAAACAAAGGGACGAGTCTGGACACGGTCCCTATCTYTGACCGGAATTTTGGCCATTACTCTCGGCAACCGCCTTTACCCCGCCCCATCTCCGTCACTCTTCCTAACTGTCTCCTGCTCCTCATAATATCGTCATACGYGCTTATGTCCTTTTCATACCAACTGCAGTGTGCAGCCGGCACGCTATTATATTATGATCTGTATACAGCGGCGCCCCGTACGAGAGCGTATAAAAACGTTCGGCTCGTCCACTTAAGTTTATTTGTTTTTTTCATCCCTCATCCGCGCACCGTCTTATATGTATGCCACCGGTTTCGGCCGTGCGATATCCTCTTCCCGAAAAATTCGACTGCGTTTATCATTACTGCAGCTATTATATATCATATAATATTACATGGACGCGTGTCTATRCGCCGTATATTATATTATATAGACGTGCGACGGTATACGATCTTTGGGTTTACGACTTATTGTGTATACAACTACTGTTGCACTATATTTATACATATTGTTTGGACGGCGACGATGGCCGCCCAGGAATCCTTTCATAATAATAATATCACA